GCAGATAGCATACATCTCCTAAGAATAAAGACATTTTCTTTGATAACCACAGCAGCATTATTACACTTAAGATAATTAACAGTAGTTTAATAATATAATTTAATATCTAGCTCATGTTCAAGTGAGGATAAACAGTTATAATGGTAGAATTTTCAAAACAACTTTTTGGAGTAGTAAACTGATTTCTAGTAATAACTGAAAAATGGATTAATGACATTTTGGTGTATCACTTTAATACTATAGGGTGGTATAGTATGTGCCATTCATATTACTGGATAATGATAAAAATAATGTCAATAAGAAGAGATATTTATTGAACCCTCATTGGAACCAGACACAAGTGCCGGACGCTCCATATATATTTACTCCCTTAATTCTTACAAATACCCTTTAAAGTTTTACAGATTAAAAAAACAAAGCCCAGAGAAGGTTAGTAAGTCTCTCAGGATCACATTGCTAGAAAGGGGCAGAGGTGGGCTTTAAACCTGGGTCTGTATGATTCCAAAGCTCCTTCTCTCGACATGCAGCTTTCCTATATTGTCACACTTAACCCCATTCCGATGGCCACCCATGGGCGGAAGAGAAGTGAGGCATGCTGGCAAAAAAGTATAGACTGGGCGGTGCGGGTGGATTGGTCTGGGGAGGGAGTACTTCTAACCCCCTGTGCTTGTGTGCAAAGGAAAAAGGACACATCCAGTGCTCTGGGTCTGAACTCCTTCCCCAGCACTCAGAGCACACACGTGGGGCAGAGAGAGCAGTGCCAGCACTAACAGCCTGCCACGTCACGCGTCACTGAAACACCCTGTCTGCGTCCCTCCCAGGGTCATCGGCACTCCCTTCTATCTGATGGAGTACTGCCCAGGCCTCGTCTACAAAGACCCCTCTCTGCCAGGCCTGGAGCCCAGCGAGAGGCGGGCCATATACACTGCCATGAACAGAGTCTTGTGCCAAATTCACAGTGTGGACCTCAAGGCCACTGGCCTAGAAGACTATGGGAAACACGGTGAGCAGGAGGCCGCCTGTCTTTCATGCCGATCAGTTCCACACTAGTGCCTCTGCTTTTAGGATCTGCACGGTGTCAGGGTGCTAACGCACCATGCATTTGCTAAATGTGAAGTGGGCTTATTAGCTTCCTACTTGGTGTTAAGAGAGGTTCGGGGATTCGATCGGAGACGTAAAAGACACTTTTCACTCCAAACAAATGGACCGAAGGTATATTTTATTATATAGAGGATAGTAAAGGCAAAAGTCTGCAAACAGATCCAAATAGGTCAAATATTAAGAGGGAAAAAAAACATCAGCCCGACTGGAAAGGGAAAACACCCACATCAGCTGAAGAGAAATGACACAAATCAACCGGAAAGAGAAACACCAGGTTGACCGAAAAGAGAACACATCAAATCAATTACTTCATATCAAATCAATTACTTCACAT